ATATTTAATGCTCAATGCTGAATATTCAAAATTATTTAGTAATGCTCAATCTTAATTGGCTGAAAAAATACTAATTGCTCAGGTATAAAACTGAAATGTTCAAAAATGAATCGATTGGAAAGATATATATAACGCTCAGAACTAATCACTTAATTGCTCAGAATAATTTTTTCTTAGTACTATTGATTTTAAGAATATGTGTGCGATATAAATTTTTTAGAAAAATTATAGCCCCTTCCGGTTCACATGGACTTCTCCACCCTCTAATTTCAATGATATTAAGTCATACTCCCCCCCTCCCTAAATTCAAGTTGTAGTCCTTCGGTTCCAAGTAAAAATTACTAGTTACGAGGTCTCATTTCAAAAAGTAAATTTTTGATTTGCAAAATATGGTTTTGGATTGGCTAAATAATAATATAAATAACATTCAGGAATCTTACACATAATATGTTTGAAAGTCAGAATGCCCCTAACGACCTTACTATATTATCAGTAGATCTATATATTAGCTTTTATAAGATATCAATATTGAAATTATGTTAGAATTTAGCTTATCTATCCCATCCTGAATAATAGAATAACTATCCATATAACAAATTGAACCTTTTAGAAATATTATGCTAGAAACTTATTAATCACACCGCACTCATCCTGGTATGGTGATGATCACCAATGTAATCAGTCGATCTCCATATTAGCTATCATTTGATACTCATGTCGATATATTATTTATTCTATGCTATTTTCAATCCCCAACCCTACCACACCCACTCTGAAGAGATATCATTATAATAAATTGATCTTTAATTTGATACCCATGTTTACATATTATACTAGGAAATTTTTATTTCACCGCCCCCCCCCCCAACATACATTGAAGATGTAGAATGATGGAAATCAATTTAATCATCTTATTAACTTTCACTTAATACTCATGTCGACATAATGTTAGAAAATCTTCACAACCCCTTCCCCAACCCTGAATTGCTAGATATTTTTTTATGTGCTTAAAATATTGCCCTTAGGGTTATTTTTCTAATATTTTATTGTATGTCTAGTTTTATATGTCCCTCTTTTGTTTAGTTTTTAAAATACACGGGAAAAGACATATGGCTTGTGTTTTCTTTTACTCGCGAGTTTTTGATACTTCTGTATTCCTTACTAGGGTATTTATTACTAAACTAGTTAGGTCCTTGACCGATAGGAATGGGGGGGGGGTTAGTTTTATCTCCAATTATATAAAATAAAACTAGCACAAATCAACTTTTGATAAATGATATGATCTTTTATTATGATTGCGCCAAAACAAATTATTAATACACCTTTTATTTTCCTTATAAAAGGAACCAAAATTTATGTATGTGACATTTTGTATTTTTAACTTTTAACTTTTCATTTTTAAATTATAATTAATTCGTGATCATCCTATAATTTTTTGATATATTTTTAAATTAAGATTCAGATATTTGAAACAGAGAAAAAGGGTTCGGTTCATCCGGTGGAAAATTTGAAGTGATAGAACGGTAAATATTATTTTATTTTAATCATATTTATTTACAGATTCTATGAACATTATATCTCAATATTTTACAAAAAGCAAAGTTGAGTTAATAAACAAATTCAATATAGACCATAAACTTAAAATTTACCAATACCCCTTCCTATAATATACATTTTACTTAATCGGGTACGGGCTTTTCTCTCTCTTCTTATCTCCCGTAGGCGTTTAAGCAAGTGGTTTCGCCTCTTGCGCGCACAGGTAACTGCAGCCTGCCCAAAAATTTTGGATGGGCTCATCTCATAGGCTACCCCCAAATTTCTTAACCCAATTAGATGGGATGAGATAGTCCAAGCGTAGCTCTGCTGTTTCATATAGCGATAAAGGGCAATTGCGCTTATTATGACGTATGACGTAAATTAAGATTCTTATAAACTTTTTGTTTTAACTTAATAAAAATTATTTATATATATTTTTTTATTATTTTACTATTAATAAAAGTTTGAAGAAATTGATTTGTTTGTAAATTTGAAGTAGTACAAACTTAAGTTAAATCACGATGACAAATATGTTCACAGGTAATTTCCAAGTAAATATCTACCCAACCCTAGATTCTACCTGCAACGGATGCTATTCTATCTATACCTGAAGCCCCTAAAGGCAGGATAAGTCGAGGAAATCTGATATATCAGTAGAGGATTATCTAAAAAGAGAAGGATAAGTAAAAAAAATATCATTTTAAAAAATATAAATAAGTTTAAAAAAAGGACAGTGCTCATAATAATATAAATAATCTAAATTCCCATTGAAAAAGGTATTAATCACATAAAAATTTATCTTTTTTTATTATTTTCACAACAATTTAGAAACAATATTTATATTTTATTTATTAACAGAAATCCCACAATATTTAATTCTCAGATTTAGTTATCAAATTCATAATCAATGATAAAATATACTGATTTAAATTTACTCTTTTTTAACATAGAAAATAAAAGTTTAGCTGAATTGAAAAAAAAAAGTTGATAATCGTTAGATCACTCATAATAAAATTTTAAAAATAATTTTATATTTCTCTTAGAAAAGTTACTAAAACTATTTTCTCATCACTCTCAAGAGAAGCTCAAGCAATGTGGATATTAAGCAAAATTTCTAAACCATTAGCAATAAACAAAAAATGAGTTGTTTGACAATTATGATCTTCCGGCTTTTACAGTACGCTTTGTCTTAAAAATGATTATGTCGATTTTCAACTTGTAAAATTATGTGTAAAAAGTGAAGCATGGATGACTATTTTAAATTTGAAAAATATATTAGGGCTAAATCATGGCTTTGCCGAACGTGTAATCTTAGCTTAAATGATAAATCATCTATAATTTGTGATATGTGCCATATTTGATATTACTTTAAATAGTAAAAATATTTTTAAAAAAACCTTATAAAAATTTTTGGTTTTGTTCTGATTGTTGAAGTTTATAATTTTATTGCCATTTTTTATATATATTATAAGTAGAACTAATAAATCATTTTTATATAAAGTAATTGTATTTGAACTTGTTTACTTGATTTTTGTCTCATCTACATTGTATCACTTATTGTAAAAATATTTTAAAAAATCTTTCAAAATTTTTTGGTTTTGTTCTGAATGTCGATGTTTATAATTGTATTTGAATTTATTATATTATAAGTAAAACCAATAAATTATTTTTATTGAATAAAATATTTGCATTTGAACTTACTTACTCTTGATTTTGTCTCATTTATATTTATGTTATGGTAGAATTTAAATAAAAATATTCTTTTTCGACAATATCATTTTTTTTCTTATACAAATTTTATAAATTTAAATTTCTTTATTGAACAAATTGAAATTATTATGTGAGAAGATATAGTTATAAAATGATAAAAGTAAATTTTTTATTTATAAAACTAGTTAAATTTTTTTTAGTGATTCTTATATAATATAGAACAGGAAATTTTTTTATGATTAAATAATATAAAATAAGTATACAATTATTCATTTTCTTGTTTTGTATTCATTTTTCATCAGAAAATAATGTCATCAGGGAATCAAAGAGTGAAATATAATAATTTGTATTAGGGGACCTATTATTTTATAATATACAAAAGAAACCAATTTAAAATATATTCAAAATAAATATATAATTTAAGGGCATTTTAATTAATTTTAAAACTTCTTTATTTTTAATATTTAACCTCTTAATACTCCTGCAAAAAATAATATAAATAGTCTAGTGTATTTCAATAAACCCCAATTTCAACTGAATATATCTCCATTTCTATTCTTTATTAATTTATTATGCTTACATAAAAAAAACTTCAGCATAATTGTAACTTACCCAAATCTTTCTAAAAATTAATTCAAAAATATTCAACTCCAAAATATAAAAAAAATTGGATATAAAACCAACTCGGCTTAGTCGTGACTAAAGTCTCGTTCTGAATCCATTAGTCCACTCAAGAACTAAAGTCGGTACGAATAGAGAGCTTAAGTCGCGGTTCGAGTTCTGAACTTGAGTTAAAAAATTTCTACCACTTCTAGAACATAAAAAATTTTAATTAATGGGAAAAAAACTTCCATATTTTTTATCTTCTTTTTCAATTTAAATTTTATTAAATAACATTTATATACTGTATGTTAAATCTCTTATCCCGAACCCAGTTTTAAATTAAGCAAAATTTTATAAAATAACTATAGCATATAATTGTGGATTTTAATTTTTTAAAATTGAAAGATTGACTCGGATTTTTAAGATTCTACTTTTTTTTGGCACTGACGGGCTTGCCTTAATAAATCTAAGTGATGAATATTTTAAATTAAATCCTTTCAAAGTTTAAAGGTTTCAAATATTTAAAAGAAATAAATCTAAGTGATGAATATTTTAAATTCAAATCCTTTCAAAGTTTAAAGGTTTTAAATAATTAAAAGAAAATTAAAAAATATGGGTTTACCTTTAAATATTTTCCCCAACTTTTAGATATTAATCCTAAAATATTTTTATTTATGGTCTTTTTATTGAGATGTTTAATCTATAAATTTGAATTGATAATTGTCTAAAAGGTAAACTATATTATCTAAAATAATTAAAATGCAAAAAAATTTAATAAAAGAGTTTACAGAAAAATCTATATTAATATAATAAGTAAATAATATCTAATCGATACTATTCATTTCATATTATTGTTTTCATACATTATAAAATCGATTCTTTAAAAAATTTTTATTCGGTAAAACGAATCCAAAATAAAAATAATTCGTCATTGCTCAGATTAATATTACTTATATAATAAAGAGTTTTCTTATGACGTCACATTAATAATTTGTATAACGGAAAATTCCGAATGAAAACGATTACGTAGTTTGATATGTTTTTAGTGAAAAAATATAATTATTTAACGAATACCGAGCGTCATTTTATATTTTTAATAATATTTTTGCGTAACACCTTACATACTAATCATATTAGCAATTCAATATAAACTCAAATTTTATCTTCTAAAATGCATTCAAAATATTTTCAAAATTTTATTAAAATACTTTCAAAATATTTCCAAATTACATTATCTACTCATATATTATATCACTTCATTATCTTGATGGAGACAGTTAACTTTCTGCCAGTGAATAGTTCTAGTACTTATGAATCCAAATCATATTATGGTTATGATCTAATGGACAATACTTTTTTAACAGATGAAATTGAAGAATTCATTAAATCTCTGGAAAAAAATCTTAATAAGGAATGTGATATTTCGAATTGCGATATCCCACAAAAGATATTAAATAATCCATCTAATTTAACTTATCAGCATGAATATTCAGTTCAAAAATCTAGATATTCAGGAGAAACAAACCAAGCATATGAAAGCATTCAAAATTATGACATATACCATTCTGATTTAGAACGAATTTCTGAGCCTGTACATTTCAATTTAGGAAGTAATTCATTTATGATTTATAATAATTCTTATTTGTATACTTATAATAAAAATATTAAAAATAAACTAACTTAACTGTAAATTTTTTATTATTATATAATTCATTATAAATTTAAAAAAATAATTTAATTAATAATATTTTATATATTGATAGGAGATGATGATTTAACCCTTCTGAAAAATTCAAAATATTTCAATGTAGAATGCCAATATTATAATCAATATGAACAAAACAATTGCTTATCCTCATATACAAAAGAAAGTATACCAGAAGGAGTATTAATATATAATTACTCAAAGAATACAAATAAGGAAATAAATAACAGGAAATTAGATAATGTACCTCAATCCCAAATATTTAAAGAATTTCATCATAACTTTCCTCATATTTCAACTTTTTACAATGACAAAAATGAATATGACATTCCAATCGACTTTAGTTATTTATTTTATCAAAATCTGAATATGATTAATAATGATTTGTCAGTTTATCAACATAATGATAATCCAACAAATATAAAGAAAACATGTTACAAAAAAAAATCGCATAAAGGATCATGCGGACGTCCCAAAACAACGTCTATGTTGAAAAAATATCCATTAAAACAGGAAACCATCCGGCAGGATTTTAAATTTCAAAATAGATATATTACTAAATCTTTTATCAAATATAATGTGAGAACAAAATTTGAAATGCAAAATTTGCAATTTAGCCAAAATAATGTTAACAAGTCTTTTAATTGCATGTTTAATAATTGCGGTAAACAATTCTCTAGAAAGGATGAGCTCAATCGACATTTAAGAATTCATAATGGATTTAAACCCTTTAAATGCCAACTTTGTTTAAGAGCATTTACAAGATCAGATCATTTAACTACACATTTTAGAACTCATACCGGTGAAAAACCTTTCCAATGTGAAATGTGCAAACGTAAATTCGCCAGAAGTGATGAACGAAATAGACATATTAAAATTCATATTAAAGAAAATCAATGAGCATATGAAATATTTAAATGCTATATAAGAAAAATTTTAAAATTATATATTTCTAAGAAAATATTTATTTATATTACATCATAAATATAATAATAAAAGAATTTAGAGATTTATTACAATGCATATGTGCGCTTATTTATTCATCCCTATTACTTGTTATATTCCTTTACAACATCATTTGTTGTAACTTCGTTGGCCTTATTTCTTTTACAATATAACTGCATCTATCTATTTTTTTTTCACCCTATTATAATCCCTACCCTCCCTTATAGTTCTCAAATTTTTTATAATTAATCAAAAAATGTCTATAATAAATAATCTTTAAATGCAATAAAGCAGTTTTATACTAAAAAAATGAACAAATTTAATTATTTAATAGTATGGATTCTTTCATAAATCTAATATTTTTCAATACATAAGATTGTAAGGATTAGTTTAAAGGTTGCAAATATATAAATCCAGTTATCCCTTAGAAACTTTTAAATCTAAGAGTGAATTTAATATATGCACTGGAATAAGCGAATAATCAATTAGCCAAAGATCTATTTGATGCTAACATTGATATGTAAATAAAATTTAAACCTGTTCATTATAAAAAAATGATGCATTAAATATATTATAGTTAAATTGCATTATAAAATTTTCCAAGCCATGATGCCATATTAAAAATAGGCGGCATGCCTATTGGTGCGGCTAATTTGTGACACACTGGGCTATCTAATTTTATTTTTATAGTTGGAATTGGGTTCTACAGGGTTGTAGTAGCGTTGAAATTGAAGTAATTACGATTCATCATTTGAAATCAATATAGTGACAAAAAATATCCAAACTATTTATTTGTCACATTAAAAAATTACCTTCTTCCACTTCCGCTATGCGTTGATTTCAAGTAATGGTCCCCTGAGATTGTAAAGGCTAGTGATTAGAAAATATTGTAAGAATATACAAGTAAAGGTAAACAAGAGTTTACAAAAATATTAAATATTATTATTGTTAAGTCTATAAGAATATGTATATAAAATATACAAGTAAAGGTAGAAAAGAGTTGACAAAAATATTGTCAATGTTAGTTTATAAGAATATAGATATAAAATATTTAAATAGAGGTAAAAATATGTAAAAAAAGTGAGTTGCTAAATATATAAACAAGGTGATTACTATTATTATATTTGTTTCTTTTTTCCCCAGCCAAAGGTGTAGAATGGATTTTTGATTTTTCAATATAATAGGTTTTTTTATTTAAAAAATAATGTACAAATTAGGCTGGAGATTCTAATTTATGTGACTTTATAATATATATCCTGGGATAAATCCTTTACACCTAGATTCTGACCTTTCAATTTTTAATAAATTTATTCATTAATTCTTTGGTCTACCTATTATAAATCTTAAATTTTAAAAATTTATAATCATTATTTTAAGATGCTTAATTATAATTTGTGTCGACTCTCTTGATTTATCTCATAAATTTATATTAACTTTTACATTTAATGTTTATATATATTTTTCATATATTTTCATTAGCACGTTGGTCATAGACCTGCCCAAAGATGAGCGTATGTGAATTATATAAAGGCCCATCCTTAACGATTTTTTTTTCTCATGTGTGCCAACAAACCTTGTAACCCAGATATGAAGTATATGAGGGTGAAACTACACCCGAGCCATATCTAAGTTTAGTAATGAGTATAGCAATGAAAGAAGTAGAATATAAGAATATAAAAGGTTCTCGGCTAATTGTAATCTTATCTTATGTAGCATTGGTCATAAGCCTGGCCTGCCCAAAATGAGCGAACGTGAATTATATGGAGGCCCATTTCCTTATAATCATGCCAATTTTTTTCTCAAGGATAACAACAAACCTTGTAACTCAGAAGTATATTATCAAAATGAGAGAAACTACGTCCTATCCATTTGTAGTAGAGTGAGGTATAATTTTAAATGTGAAAGAGAAAAGATAAAAAAGGAAAAGAAAAGAAAAGAAAAGAAAAGAAAGAAGCTATTTCTTCCAAATACAAAATAGTTATTATTTAATAAATTAAAATTTCCCGTTTAGAATAGTAGTATTATAATCATTTAGTAAATATTATGTAATCGACAATAACGTTACAAAATATCCATTATTTAATTTGTTAAATTTTCTGTTTTGGTATGGTAAATTATTTAAAATATTTAATATATAATTATGTAATCAGTAAAAGACATATAATGACATGATAGGTTATCTTAAATTTATTATATTTCACTTAGTACTCGGAAAAATTTAATTATAAATTTCATATGCTTCTCATAGTTTATTTCTAACTAATAATCTTTTTTATTTCCCTTTATCTTGTTAAATTTTATCAATAAGATAAACTTAAAATGGAACTAGATAATATTTATTTAGGGAAGTAACCATCAATAAAGTATCAGATATCCTTCTTAAGAATTTCCTCTAAGCGTCATTATTCATTTAGAAACTAGATATTATTTAAGATAAGTCCACAGTTAATTATTATTTTAGATATATGCATACATATTTGAGGGTCAGGGAGTGGGGGGAGGACTAAGGGGGATATTTTTTATTAGATAAAATGGATATTTACAAAAAGTGATAAATTTCTGAAGGGGGGGGGATTTCCCCTTGCTTCCCTTCCCGGCTACGCCTATGCTTAGCTCTAGCTCTATTTAATTTATCTATTAAAACTAGTATAGTATTTTCTTTTCTATCTAGTGTTACTCCAGATGTTGCACTTTTGTAATCGTCTTCATATTTTTAGGTTAATGTGGAGTGGGGTGAATAATGAGGTCATCATCATAGTTTTCATATTTTTAGGTTTATGTTGAGTGGGGTGAATAATGAGGTCATCATCATAGTTAAATTTATATTTATTTCTAAACCAAAGAAACCTGCTTCTAAAATAATACTATCTACTACGAATTGAAGTTCGGATGATTCTCCCATCAGACAAATATCATCGGCAAATACAAGTATATTTAGATTCACAAATTTACACCGTTCCGAGCAAGATGTTTTAACTATCTTTATAAATAATTCGCTATAAAATTAAATCAAAGTGATGATTAAACACATTCCTGTTTTAATCCATTTTTAAATAAATTTTCGGAGATTATTTGCCTGCGTGAATTAACTGGACCGAGAAGTTCTTGTACTTATTTCCTCCAAAGCCCTCCACAAACTAGCATCTATAATAGAATCAAAGGCTTTTTTAAAATCAAGAGCGATGAAAACCAATTGTCTTTTACGTCAGTTAGGATTTTTAGCAAAAGAATAGTTTCAAGTGAATTATGGCTCTTCCTGAACAATACCAGTAGTGAGTTAACAAAATCAGTTTCTACAATCGGTTTTAGTCTGTTTAGGATGATATTAAAGAATATCTTATAAACTATCGAATTTAATAAGATTCCCTTCCAGTCTTCAAGATATTTAGGGTTTTTGTTTTCAGGAAGTTGATTAGGATAGCCGTAAGCTAATCGGACATGTCCCTTCGTGCCAAATTCTGGTAGTAATTGGGAGGAGGATCTCTATGCATAACGTTGGATCAGTCTTCAAGTACTCGCTATATATATTATCATAGCCACAAACCTTATGATTTTTTAAATTTTTTATTATACCCATTATTTCGCTTTTGTTTGGATATAACAGTCTCTCAGTATTTACATTTAGAGCAGTTGATGCAAATCGAGATGTCGAGGATGAAGTCACGATACTAAGTGTATGTGCTTGTTTGGAAGGCCAAAACGTAGAGGTGGAAGATAGTTAGTAGTGTTGGATAGAGTGGTAAATTAAAGGAGTAGATCGGCGAGGAGAAGACCATGTAGATGGGTTAGTTGATATGTTATTCGATAAAGAGGAGATTACTTTTCCACTATAAAATTTGGTAAGGATGTCCAAATTTCCATCTGCTCATGTGGATCAGTAATCATTTTGTTATGTCTGAGTTTAAAATCTAGATCTTTCTTGAAGGAAGTAAAGGATTTCAATGATTTAAAGTCTTGTATGTATCATTTTTATTGAAAGAGCTGCTTAATTCTGAAGCTCGATTAAGATATTTCTTATCTCTGCGAAGTTTGTGACTGTTATGTTTTCGTTTATCTTTATTTTATTTTCTTTAGTTTTATATATATATGTTAGCGTCAATGTGTTATTTTCGGCAATGAACACATTGCCTGATTATTTTAGGCAATGTGTTACGGTGGTAGGCAGGGTGAATTAATTATTTAGGCACAGGCAAAGTGTACATTGCCTGGTTTTTTTAGGCAATGTATTTTATTTTACAAATTAATAAATTTATTATTTATTTGAGAGATTAATTTATTATTTAATTGATATTAATTTAATATTTATTTGAGAGGAATTTTTTATTTATAAATTTATTATTTTTATAATTGAAAGATTTTATTAAATATATTTTTAAGTAATATTTTTAAGATTGTCAATTTATATAAATATTTTTATATATTAATTTTTTACGTACATTTTTCTGGTACATCTTTTGATCGTAATATTTTTGAATATATTTTTATTAAAGAATTTTTAATATATTTATTTGAATAATTTTTTTTAATTTGTTATATTATTATTTTTAATATATTTTTTGATTGATAATTGTTTTGAAAATAAATTTTTTAAATGATTTTTTATATATTAATTTTTTAGGTACTTTTTATCTGATACATCTTTGATCATAAATATTTTTATATTTTAATTTTTTACCTACTTTTTTTCTGGTACATCTTTTGATCGTAAATATTTTTAAATATATTTTTTTTAAAGCATTTTTAAACTAGTACATTTTTTCTGTTTAGGTAAAAATATGTTTTGTAAACATGTTATATTAAAATTTCAGTTAAGATGTACATAGAAAAGTGACAATTGTCATAATCGTTATTTTTGAACTTTTTTGAATTTTTTAAAATAAATAGCTAAAAATATATTGTAAACAAGATAAATTAAAATTTCAGTGAAGATGTACCATAGAAAAGTGACAATTGTCATAATCGTTATTTTTGAACTTTTTTGAATTTTTTTAAAATAAATAGCTAAAATATATATTGTAAACAAGTTAAATTAAAATTTCAGTGAAGATGTACCATAGAAAAGTGACAATTGTCATATTTTTAAACTTT